ACCTTTGAATCACGGTGTCTCCCTTGGAGTTGAGGGTGATACTTTAGGGCAGCGTCCAGACACTCCTCGGGCTTGGGGAGGCCATCTCTGGAGGGTGGGTCCTGCCCGCGCAGCAGAGCACCGGCTGCTCATGCGGAACACACTCCCCTAGCAGGCACCTGGCACAGATGGGCTGGACAGCTTCTAAATCTCCCCATAACCGGAGTACAACTGTCAGAGCTTACCCTCCAGAGCTATCCATGGAAGATGTGGCAGACATGGTATTCGGCCTCGTACCTTCTGGAGGCTACAAGAATCCTGTTAGCACAGGCGATAATTCCAACTAGACACATTTCCAATCCCACAGAAAAGCTACAAGGCTACATGAGAGAAGAGGAGGAGGGATACCATCAGCAAAGACAAGCTAACATCTCCACAACGTGGCATGTACATCTGAAGAGCTGCCTGGCTCCTGGTGGGAGGGAACGGCACTGAAAAAATATGCGATACCTGGAGGAAGAACCTAGTTGCAAACTGGTTAGCCATTTAAATGGGCAAATTACCCAAGACATAATTAGGGCCACAGTACCCCCCCCGGAACTCCTGTATGTGAATTAATGGACCCTTCTCGGTGAGCTAGGCTAGCACTAATAGCATTTTCTTTCCCTTAGACCGTTTAAATCATTAATCCTTTTCCAAGATGGCATTTGTGTTTGCGTCTTCTGTGCCCGGAGGTCAAGTCTCTAGCAGGCTGCCTTTTGCTCTCTGGCAAGTAATGCTGGGCATCCATCAGGAAGGAGAGGATCTTCTGGTTCTAGGTACACAATGTTCCCAGAGGTAGTTAGCACTAATTGAAGGAGCAGTGGGCTGGGAGAGTAGGCAAGCTTCGTTGGTGCCTTGCGGCCTGCCAGGACTGTGTGTGTGTGCTGGGGTGGGGGGACAGTAAAATATACAAGGCATAAAATTCACCATCCTAACCATTTTCAAGTGTACAATTCAGTGGCATTCAGTACTTTCACACTCTTGTGCAACCATCACCAGCATCCATCTCCAGAGCTTGTCCACCTTCCCCAGCGGCAACTCCATACCCAGTAAACAACCACTCCCTCTTTTCCTCTCCCCTCAGCCCTGGCAACCATACCAGCCAAGACCTTTAACTAGACCAGCCTCAGGTTCTTCATCTGAAAAATGTATACTGTAATCACAGCGTTGGACCTAGGAGCCATTTGAGTGCCAACTGGATTGATTTCATTCAGCTCAGTCCCCCTGGAACCCCCTTGAATTCTCTTCCTGGGTGGGTGCTTACAGCCAACTCTGGGGCAGCTGGATCTGGAAGACATCTGGGAATGTACTCCAGTCCCACATTCCATGGGAGAAGGGGCCAACACTTCCATCAGCGTAAGGAGTAGAGTTGTTCGTAACCTTTCCACACACCTACAAAACACTGCTCTTGGCATAATTAAACACACTCAGCCCAAGGTTAGAAAACCACATACAACAGTAACAATCTAAATATAAGTCCCCATTTGGTTTTTATTTTCGCTGCTACCTTTCTGGTCCTGGACAAAAAGACAAGAAAGTGTAGCTGGTTTAGATTGCTATCTCCTCTAAGAGAAAAAAAATTACGTATCACCCACCCACCAGTGAACTACACACATGTGAAACGACCATCTTCTTAAAGAAAAGAAAAATAAGTCCCTATTTGAATTAAGAATCTCACTTTTGGCAGAAGAGCCATTTTCCACTTTATATATTGTGCGTGTTTATTAGGGTTTAACAAAGAGGAGAAATTTCATGTAATTAGTCACCGGAGGATACCCACACAACCCCATAAATGTAACAGAGGCATATTGACAGCGGCATAAAAGGAAACACTAATTAAATCCCAATTTCCTCCAAATACTGCCAGATCTTTCAGGTACAAGCTCACTTCCCGGGTTGTTGAACATTTACTCAGAAGTGCCCAGATTTCAGAGCCAGTGCTTCAGAATACTGAAGAGTCTGGAACAAAGCACTTCAGGAACAGTTACAGGTGCTCCTCCACAGATAGGATGCACCTGGCTCAGCCCAGGAAAGAGATGAGAATAGGCACTTAGTCAAGAGAATGGACAGGGACAGCTGAAGAATTTTCCGGAAACATAAAAACATACGACAAGAACTGTGGATTTGAAAAAATAAAATTAAGGAGTGGACTTGGTTCTCTGTTTACTACATTGACTTGTTTGCAAAGTACTTACCTCCCACTGGTGCTAGCAAAGCTCAATTCATCCCAAATCCCATTCTGATGACCATAAATCCCAAGTCAGTAAGATACACCTACTGGAGACTCACTGACATTAATTCAAGAAGCTTAAAAGTAAACCCCTGGAAAATGCTACCCAATTTTACTCTGCCCATATTATGACTCTAGATCTTTCCTCCCAGCATCACTCTCCCTTTAGAGTTCTTATTTAAAGCAAAGTTTCATAAAGGCTGTCAGGCCCAGCCCTGGGTTGAAAAGAAGGGGAGGGGACTGTGCCATGTGCTTTGAGTGGCATCAGAGATCCCCTGTCCTACTGATGTCACTCCTAAGGCACCACAGGGGTTCCAGAAAGTCCACTGGTATCAATTCCTTCCACTGCAAGTGGGGATTAAGAGCAGGGGCTCCAGAGGTAGACGGTGTGGGCTCTGCTATTTAGGAGCTGTGTCAGTTACATTCTCAACCTCTGTTAGGGACAGTCACAGCACTGCCAACATGGGCTTGTTGTGAGGCTGAGACAGGACAATACATACACATCCCATGGCGAAGGTCATTATAACAGTATCAGCTCCTATTTTTCCTTTTAAGCCAGTCATTCTCAACAACCCTATGATGTGCTGTGATGCGCAAGTAAATGGAAAGAAGCAGATGGCGAGGATCCCGCTGTAAGCTTCCTCTCCCAGGATAATGCCCTAGGTGTGCAAGTCACCACCGTAACACGCATTTGTTGACTAATTAAGAGACTTTGCTTTTTGACAGGAGAGAACCTAGAGCATGACAAGGCTGTGGGGTGAGGTGCGGGAGACCCACCTGAAGGAAGAGAAGAGGTGGTAGGAAGCAGTGCAGAGGAAACACACTTAAGGTCGGCCAACGTGCGCTGTGGTGATGCAAGACGTTACCACTGGGGGAAACTGAGTGAAGGGCATGCAGAATCTTCCCATGAATCTAAAATTATCTCAAGATAAAAAGTTTAAAAAAAGAAACCTGCCGGAATGTCCAGGTCCTTAAGGTTCTATTAAAATGAATCTGGGCGCCATCAGCAAGCTCGCTCTTCCTCTCTGAGCCAGGGCTTCCTGAGAGCAGAAACGATGTCTTCTCATCTCCGCATCCCCAGCTAGAGCTGTACCTGACACACAGCAGACTCACAAAAAATGTGACATCAGTGCGTGAAAGAATTAATCCTCTTTCCCCAGCCCTCGCCCCTGGAGACCAGCTGGAAGTAGTCCTTCCCCTTTGGCTCCAGGGCAATCATTTAGGATTTTGGTGCATTTCGTCATTTAGTCATTCTCTGTGTCTTTGGAAACCTCAGCTAGGAGAGACATGTGTGCGCTGCAGTCGGCTGTAGCCGCCCTGCCAAGAAAGGTTAACGGGAATGCAAACGAGCCACCATTAGCATCAGGAGGTTAATGGTAACAGGGCTGTGGCTGGACCACCTTCAGATTTCTGGAAATGTGGGACAAAGGTGAGCTGCTCCTCTGAGCTGGTTTCACTCTCTGCTCTTCCGCCTGCCTCCGGTTTGGCAGCTAAAACGCCTGCTCTAATTTCATTCCCTGCTCTTGGCAGTGTGCTTTGTGAATTGCCTCTCTTGACACAAGATGAAGTGAATGAGCAGAGGAATTGGCCCCCTGCAGAAACCAAAGGCAAAGCCAAGTCTGTTTGCTAAGAAAACACTCCCTGCTCACCAACCACAGCTCAACAGGTACTCGCTCCTGTTTGCTTCTTCTTAGTGCCTCAAATAATCCTTGAGCATCTGGGACCTGCCAGACCTGGAGCTAAATGTACTCACTAAAAAGGAGACCAGACATCCTCTGGGGGCAGGGGTGGGGGTGGCGCTTCAGAGCAGGCCCCAACGGCACTGCGCAGACAAGCCAAGGGAAATGAAATGCCAGATGGCACCCACTGGATCCGAGGCTTCAGGCTGCACCTGCCCTCTCTCCTGGTCCCATACCACAGGTCCCCTCTCCTCCGTCCTGTACTTCCCAAGCTCAACACCTAACTTTAAGTCCCCTAACTGAGCCAGGGGGCTGCCAAGATTCATCCATCAAGGGCCCCAAATCTCCCATGTTCGGATTTTCCCTCATACCTGTCATTTAGGTTTCTAGAATCTAGATGCCTTCTTCCCCCACATCCAGCAGCAAAGCAAGCACACAGGCATAGACACCCATCGGTCTGAGCAGCTCCCAGGTGGGCAGCTCCTTCACGCCCCAGGACCCACTAAAGGGAAGGACACCTCTCACCGTATTATCCAGTTCTGGGTCAAGGACAGCAGGCCCCAACGATCCCTCTATCTAGTGGCACTAAAACCACAGAATTACATGTGCAAGCCTAGCGCCATCAAACTGTCTTAGATTGAAAAGGGCCCATGTTTGACTGATGTTCTATTCGCAGATGATGCTCCACAGCATGGTGAGAGTCCATCCACCAGGGTTTAGAACTAAATGGGTTTCTACAAGAGATTCTCCATAATTCTCTATAGGAGAGAAACAGGAATAAAGTGAATGAAGTTCAAGATTAATCTTCTCTTTTCTGTATTTGCTCAAGGAGTCTGAACCCCAGTGGGAGAGGACAAGGAAAGCCTCTGTCCCTCCAGAAACCAAGCTGGTTTCTGCTGTCAGGTTGTTGCTGGGCAGCTGCGTCTGGGGAGGTCTCTCCCTGCGCACTAGGTGAAGCACGAGGAGAAACCTCAACCTGGCTGGGGGAGGGTTCTTGACACTGGGTGAGAAAGAGCTCTCGAGCAGGTCAGGTGAGTGTAGGTAAGGAAGGAATTCATTAAAGCAAGAGCAGTGGGGATGGCAGCTGCTGTGCAGGCAGCAGAGAACAAGTAAGTGCAAAAGGAAAGAGGGAAAGTTCTTAGCTGGGGCAGATTCCCTTGCTAACTCCTGAAACCAGGGTCACCCACCCTCCTGTGTCTGCTTGGATCTGCATGGCATGGGGACTAGCACCCAACCACTCCAGGATTTGGGGGAGCCACGGAGCACAGGATGGAGTGAGATTATGTTCTGAGAACTTCCCAAAGAAAGGAGATTTTCCGGCAGGCTACTGAGAGCAGATCGTACGGTGGCAGTTTGGTCCAGGTCACCCAGGTGATGGGAACCTTCAGGTCCAAATCTGAGCTCTTAGCAGCCCCTTCCTACTTAATAGGAGTAAAGCAGAGACAGAGTGAAGACTTGGGAATAAAATGAAATAGCAAAGAGACAAGCTGCAGTAATCTAAGCAGTGAGAAAGCTTTATTTGAAAGTAAGCACTTAAAGAAAGGAAAGTGTGGGCATCCTCAGAGAGGAGGCATGCTAAAAGTTTGGGGTTTCTGTCTTTTAAGGCTTTCAGGAATGGAGCAAAGGGTGGGGGTGGGGTGTTGTTATTGGGCGTAGGCTTGACATGGGTCTCAAGGTGCTTATCTCTGCTGAGAGACACCATGTCTCCCTTCCTTTACTATCAGTCCTCCAGCTAATTCTGCTAAATAAACCCAACACAAGGGATTTATTTATCCTGTTCTTCTCCAAGACAGTGGTTACCCTCAAGCAGTGGGGACATAGCAGTTAAAACTGCCTGCCCTGCCTTAAGGTAGGCTGTTGGGTTATTGTCTGATTACCAGGGAATATGTTAGGAATCTTACTTCTCAACTCTCTACTTTTTAAAATGGAATCTTAACCTTAAGATGTGGTCCCTCCTGTTCTTACTGTCCTGTTTATATCTCAGCATTTTCCATCATAGGCGCGAAAAGTTACTCATGATGCTTGTCCCATGTCTCTGCCCCACCTCAAGGTGGGGGCTGAGGGGACTGGGTGTGCAGGGAAGGAGTGTTCATCTGAGGTTGTTATCCCCACTTACAAGGCATTTAATTGGGAGTCTTTGTTTAAACACCTTTGAAAGCTGCAACAAGAGAGAAGGGGTTGCTGAGCCTGAACGCAAGCGGTGGTCTCTTTCAACAGCCTCTTGTTTCTTCCTGTTAAGTACAAAGGTACTTTATGCAGGAGGATTAGTCATGTGCTAGCCAGGCCTTTGGGTACCAGAGGCTGTCAAAGAGATGGTCTCCTGCTGATTCTTGCTTTGGGTCTGAGATCCTAAGCCTCAGAAAAATGTCCTAACTCCTCTCAGAAGGGCGATGTTCCCATTTCTAGGTTCCAGCAGCTGAGATCAGCAGTGGCGGAGGGAGGCTGGGAATCCTGAAACTATACCTCTATTATTGGTAATCATTACAATTAACATTTGTAAACCACTTTTGCAGTTTCCTACTGACCCTAGTCTTTACAGCACCCTAGGAGGCAGGCAAGAACCAGGACTCACAGTTGACAGACAGAAGTGAATCTGCTCAAGGTCTCTCAGCTACCAGGTGGCAAACTCAGGACTCATACCCAGGACTCCAGATCCAAATTCTCTGCCTCTTTCAGGGCCATGCAGCCTCCTTCTATCGACCTCATAAGCTCAGGGTTAGAAATGTCAAACAGAAGAAACTGAGTTGCTCTCCTTTGCTAATTTTCAGATCAAAAGATCAAGAAAGAAGTAACATTACACCTCATACCCTTTCGATGTCCTACATTTGTGATAGAAAAAAATGAGATGCTATTATTGTAGAATCATAAAGACTTTCTACTCGCTCTCTGCAGTGCTAGTCACCGGTACGTGACCTTAATGAGCATTACACCTAAAACATTCCTGCTGTTAACAAATAAAACTCCCTCCTGCACCCTCCCAATAGTAAATCTGAAAGTCACCAAGAGAACCTTAATTGCCTGTGCGCAACACCATCTAGCCGTGGTGGCGAGTGCGCAGCTGGAGGCTGCGTCTGCGAGGCTGACATTCTTGTCTCTGCCATGGTCTCACCTTCTTCTCCTCCTTCCCATTTCCACGGGTGGTACCCCACTCTTTGCCACCATCCCACCTCACCCTCATAATTCTGGGGCTGCACATGAAGCTGCTGTGCCTTAACTCCTTAGCACTCCATCTCCGGAGGGCATTTTTTGCCCAGAAAAACAAACCATCACCACCAAGGTAGTCAGGGGTCTTAAGAGTCAAGGAGATTGTTCTAAATGAAGGGGTTGCCAAAGACCATAACTCCTAGTGCGCTGTAGGCTCCAGGCGAGGGAGGAGAAGGCAATGGAAATGACTGAACACCTGGAAAATGCTCACATCTGGCCATGCCCTGCAGACAAGCTCCAGGTCAGTCCTGATAAAACAGACCAAAGTCAGGTCTGTTGAGGGCACTGGCTTCAGTTTACAATCTCTACAGCCATTGCAAGTTTGATTCATCTCCGAATCCCTCCTGAGGCCCCCTCTCCAGCTAAGAGAGAGCTGGGCTCTCCCCAGTCCTGCCTCCAAAGACAGAGCCCTCTCTGGGGCTGAGGTGGCCCTGCAGGTCTCTATTATATTTTTATTTCACAGGACCCTTTCACCATGACCCTGGCAATCTCAGCACTTCAGGCTCAACTTTTCCCCAGAGTAGTGGCCAGAGAAGTCAGTAAATAGAAGATCTGAAAGCAAACTTGAGGGCAGAGGGGGTATTTAAAGATGAAATATGGGGAAGAAGCCAGAAAGGATATTGGTTCGTTAGTGATGCGAGAACACAGGCAGCCAGTGACTCTCGGGGCGCGTGCCGGCTGCCCTCTTGTTTTTCTGCCGGAGGATATGGGTTTGCAAGCCTGAGCTCACTCCTCTGCTCCCAAAGATGAAAGGCGCTTGAGGAATGATTCTTTACAGTCTGGTTTATTACACAAGATAAATGGCTCTTAGAAAGGGTGGCAAGATGACAGTGAAAAGATATTTCTGAGAGATTAGAATAAAACCAAAGTTAAGAGGGGATAATGTGAAAGAATATGACACCGCAGGTCAAGAGAAATCCAGTAACTTTGTAGCTACATTCCAGTTGCCTGAATATTCTGGATCTTCTATATAAGAACAGTGGTCTGTGCTCCACAAAACACTGAGGTAGATTTTTGCATTTGCAGAAGGAAACTTGTTAGAGTCCCGGGGGGCCAGGTTCCACAGGGCACTCAGTGGCTCCCCAGGGAGAGGCACAGGATGGCTGTGTGTAACACCACACAACAAGCAGAAAGGGAGTGTCTTTCTGGAATGTGCATCCAAGATGACATGGCAAAGAGCCAATAAGAGAAGGAAAAAGAGCAAGCAGGGCTTTGATTTTTTTTTTTTTTTATGTATCTCTATGAGATACACAAACCAGAGCACAGAACTCCAGGGCAGGACACTGAGGTGCAGGCGCGAGGAGGTGACGGATGAGTCGCCAAGGTGGTGGCCACCCCAACTGGGCTGAACAGGACTGTCTTCACTGTAGTGAGATGGACATTTCAGCAGCCCAAAGGCGAAGCTCGGCCGAAAGAGTGATACTATCCCTAAATTCCCGCTAACTGAAGGTGAGATTCTTCTTTATATATCTTCACAATCCTGGGCCATGGCTCTCGCTGCCATCTGGGGGGCTAGACCAAAGGAATAAGGTGCTCCCACATCTTTATCACCTGCCCTTGGGGCAGAGATTGGGAGTCCCCGATGCCAATTTTCTCACCTCCTACTGGACGGTGAGTGGTACATGTCTGTGTGTTTTCTAGTGTAGAGAAAGAAAAGAAGTCAACATAATTATCCAACACAGTTTTCAAAGGAACCTTGCAGCCTTGTCTTGCTGCCAGTCTCCCAGTAAAGGAGCGCGTGTCTTGGCTTAATCTACTTAAGAATGACAGACAATAGGTACCATCTGTTAATTCCAGCTGCTTCTCACAGGAAAGGAGAATCTGTCACATGGTGATATCAGAAGGCCTCAGGATAATAAAAAGATTTCCCAGAGGGTCTCCTAAAATAGAAGGAATGACCAGAAGTCATTTTGGTTGAGGTGACTGAGTCCAGAACACTCCTCCTGCTCAGAATAAATAACGCTTCCCCAGTATAGAGGATAAACTTTTTCAGAGACCAGCTACAGCAGTGATACCAGGAATGCTGTGTCTCCTAGAGGTCTAACTCTGTCACATGCAGAACATCAGAGTCCTGCCTTGTCCTGCTGATAGTTTTCTCTATCAAAATGCAGAGAAAACAATTAGGGAGACCACTATTCTTGACACAATTCTGACCATAAGGGGGGAGCCAGCTGGCAACGTGTAAGTGGCAAGGATCTCTTGAGTAAGTGACCACTTGATCTCCGGATTTGTAACAGCTTGGGACTGGGACACGCACACAGGTGGATGGGGTCATCGCTCACAGCCAGCATATAGGAACAGAAAGTAGCATGGCTACTTCCTTCCAAGAGCTTCCAGTCTACATGGAAAATAGACAGCATCCAAGGGCATTTTATCAGTGATAAAGGAGAAGCAGAAAGGGCCAGTGCCACAGAAGTTCAAGGAAGGAAGAGTGTCTTGTGCACAGTGGGACGAGGTGGTTGGAAAGGTGGAGAGCTCCTTTAAGGGTGCAGTAAGCAGTGAGACTGAAGACTGAAGGTAGTACAGGCCCTGCAGATGTTCAGCAAGCCACTCCAGCCTTCTCAGAGCACTGCCGAGGCCCTCAGGGCAGGCCCTGCAACCACATGTGTTCTAAGTACCACTCAGCCCCCTCCCTGCACCACAGCTGTTCGGACTGGGGTAACATGTGACAAAAGCTGAACCAAACACAGGCTTTCTCCCAGGAATTTGGTATTTTTAGTCTCTGCTCGTTGGCTGCTTTATGGGTGCGGAAACTCGGGGGAGACCATCTGCTCCTAAAGGCCAAATAAATAAAGGCGGATAGCAGTGTGCAGGAGAGTGAGGTGGACAAACAGAAGAGCAGAGAGGAGCCCTCTGCCACATTCAGCCCCCGTCCTCGTCCCATCCCTCCTGGGGCAGGCCTTCCCTGTGCCGGGCCCCATGAAAGCCCCACACTCTGATGCAGTCTCCTTTTCACCCAAATCAGACTGCCTGGGTCCTGTGTACCTCAAAAGCCATGACGATAATCAATGGCTAACATCTTACCATGTGCCGGGCCCTGAGGGGATGAGTTTTCCATATATAAAGGTTATCAGCCTGAAGGCCAAGAACTTGTCAATCTGATGCAGGGAGATGAGGAGGGAAAAGTGGAAAGACAGCTGGGTCAGCAGCCAAGTCAAAAAAGCAGTGAGTGGCCCAGGGACGAAGGACAGTAGGATGAGGCAGGCAGGCGAGTCAGCCAGCGCCCGCCCGGGATGGCACCTTCTGTCGCACCTGGTGTTTGCTGCCTGCACGGGGCAGCCCTTTGGAAGAGCCACGTTGGAGCTCACAGCTTCAAAGGTAGCAGGTGGCCGGGAGACAGCCTGCAAAGGATTATGGAGAGAATGGACAGGGAGCAAATGAATGGGAGGCAGGCCAGTGGGGAATGTGGGTGCCAACTTGAAAGGAAGACAGACCATTGCTGGAGGAGATAGGAAATCAAAGAGGGTTTCTTTCTTCTTTCTTGTCTTTTTCTCTTCTTCATTTTAAATCTTTATTTATTTATTTATTTATTTATTTTTTGGACACAGAAGCTTTGCTTAACTTTGTGGGCTGAAGGAGCCAGCAGGCAAAACTAAAGATGCCACAGGCCAGGAATAAAGGATGGTGCGGTTAGGCCCTGGGTGGGCAGCTGGACTTTAGAAAAAATGAATGGGAGACATTGGCGGTGAGAAAAGTAGGTAGAAGTTCACAGCGAAGTAGTCCAGCAGAGTAAACTCTTCATGCAAGAAAGATCATGAAAGGTAAAATTTCAGCTGAACAAATACAAATGATCCCAGAGAAGAAAAAGAGTGGGAAACATCTAAAGAAGGCCACATGGGCACCAGGACAGCTGAGCCTGAGCCCTAAAGAGGCAGATGTGAACATGGGGAGGCAGGGCCCCAACGTGGGGTGCACACACTTCAGGGCGGGGCTTTGAGCCCTGTCAGCAGGGCTCAAAAAGGGCTGGCAGTAGTCAACGGGGCTTTTGAGCTATGTTCGTGAGGAAAACAACTAGCTTCCCGCTGCTTGGGAAGACACTGCCCGCTTGCTTGCAGATGGCCAGAAGAAGTCAGACCTCCTAGTTTGTCTGCCTTTCCTCGGGAGAATGGTCTTGGGAGTGAGCAGGGTAAAGTGAACATCATAAGAAAGTAAGTGAAGTGCAAGGGGGTGGAAAGATAGTATGAGAACAGTTGGCATCCTTAAATGAGTTCAACTCTTCAGGCCCTGAAATGAAGGTGCGGTGCACGGGCCCATGTCCGGGGAAGTTTTCAAGGAGATGCCAGTTAACTGGAAAGGAGTATTGTCCAGATCACTGGGAAGAAGAGGGCGCACTCCCTTAAAAGGCCCACGCTGATCCCCAAAATGGAATTACTTATTAAACTGGTAGCTTGAGAATATTTAGAAGAGAATAAATACGTTGATTACCAAAAGCCACTGGGGTTCATATATCGGGCTAGGTAACTCATTTCCATATTTTGAGACAGAGGTAACTGGACGCTATTCATTTACTTACGGTCTGTCTCATTCCAGCAAGCACTGAAGGGTGATTAAAGGGACCCCAAAAATCTACTGAGACATCCCAAGTTACAAATATGTGAAAAAGAGGAAAAACAATGGAGACATGAAAATGGAGCCATAAATAAGACCAATATTAAAATGTGCAGCATAGAGCCCTACCCATGTGTTTTACAGTGAATTCTATTCTCCTGCTAATGACAGGCACTAATTTGGCTTTATGTGTTCCAGCAGGCAATAGAGGAGAAACCTGATTTACATTCACTTCACCACCTAGGAAATTTTAAAAAGAAGTAGGAAGAAAGAAAGTGGGCAATGGATGGGGAGGGAGGAGAGACAGAAAGGTTGAAAGAGATTAAAAAAAAAAAAAAAAGAGGAAGAAGTGCCGTAACTAACATTTGAGCATTTATTCACACTCTGCAAGAGAAACAGACAGTTGGGAACAGGCTGTGCAGGGGACAAAACATACCTTAATAACTGAGACCAGGACCAAGAGAATGAGGACTCTCTCAAGACAGCTACAGGGACAGTAAGTAACAGAAGAGCTAAGAGGTCAGTTATTCTAGGTCGTAGAAGCCACATTTCCTGTGGGCTTATGTTTCTTCATTAAGGACCTAAGAGTTTTGCATTAAGAATAAGTTACAAGAGGTTTGGAGTTTGACAAACTTTGATTAAATCTCTCTTTCACTTACAGCTTTGTTTGCCTGATCAAATCTATGTAACGATTTGGGTTTTTGTTTGTTTGGTTACAAAAATGTAATAACATCCCTACCTCAAAGAATTATTGTGAAAATTAAATGAAAAAGAGAAAAGCACAATTATCCGTGAGACTAAGTCCAGAAGTTCTCCCACGAGTCCTCATAAAGGGGACAGGGCATAACTGGAATAGGCAAAGACTTGAAGGACTTCCTTGCAGTTAGATATAAATTAGATGTAATATATTACCTCCAAGAATCCCTCTAACTCTGTTTATGAGTATTCATAATTCAAATTAGAGTAAATTTTGTTAAAACAAAAGTCTTGATGCTGTAAAGGTACTCTCAGCCCCCAAATATTGGCCTGGTTATTTTAAGCAACATTAGGTACAGATTAATTTTAGGACAAACTGACCACTAACAAAATAAACATTGGAGAACTTCCCACATTCTTTTCCTGAATGACATGTTGGGGTACACAGTCTCTGTGCCAGTCTGTGCAGGGCTTTGGGAAGACTCAGGGTCTGCTCAATGGAGACCAGTGACAGGCATGATTCTCCCCGAGGCTGGGCAGACCCTTGTGAACAACCAGTGATCCCAGCTGGGAAGGGGTTTGGGCAGCCAGTGTTCCCATCTTCAGACAATATTGTATCAAGGCCACCCTGACCTCATCAATGATTATCTTCAGATGGCTCTTCTAAGCTGTCATGCCATCTCTAAGGACAGAGGCATCACATGTACTTGTCCAGACCAACAGACTTGACCTTTTTCTCTCACAGCCAATATCATGAGCCTCACCACCCTTACCTCTGTTGGGACCCATTCTCCTTTACAGATCTTTGACTCTGCTCCCTAACTATCCCTAACCTGTTTGACTCCCAACTGAGTCTCTGTGGACAGTCACGGAGCCCCTTTAATTATACAAATTCCATTCACCCTTGACTCCCTGAGAAATACTGACCAGTCTAGGCCCTAATGACCAATGGTCTATCAGGCTCCCCCTTCATACTAGACTTGAAGAGACATACTTGATGTTCATCCCTTTGTCTAACAAACCTTGCTGGCCCCATGCTATGTCTTATGTTATTCTGTCCTGAGGTGCTTTGGAATAAGATCATTGTATTCTATGATAAATACCATTTTCACTTTCAATTCTAGGTAAAGATATAATAGAATCAGAAAAGGTCTAGAGAAGGGCAGCTAAATTCATCAAAAGACAGAAAACCTCCTTCAGAAGGATGGATTAAAGAAATTAGGAGTCTGCAAGACACATAAAAATGTTTGAAGGAGACGATGTCAAAGTTTTCAAAAAAGTCTTGGAGAGGATAAAAATGTACTCGTAGGCCAGACTGAGGCATCATCCCTTGAATCTTAAAGCAGACAAATTTAGGGCAGTTAGAACTAAATTACTAATAATAACAATGAAAGTGGTGACATCAAGAGGCCATAAAGACTAAAAATGTAAAATTAAGGAGGGTTGAGATAAAGTCATGGTGAAATCCACACAAGAGCATCATGAGGATACTGAATATCTCCAATCTCTGGAGAAGAGCTCAACTCCCAAATCCCGTGTCACGTTGACCACCAACAGCTGAACCTGCAAGCTATAGAACCTGAAGCCTTTATGGTGTTCATCTGTTGTGAGGATTAAATGGGACCATCCATGTAAAGTACGTCTCACAAGCCTCAGTAAAATACATAGCAGCAGCAGCAGAAATGTTGCAACAGTTTTTATGTAATTCAGCCAAATGAAGCTGGATCCAGCTCCGTATACTGGTTCTTCTGCAGAGTCATTATTTTGTCTTCAACCGATCACCAGCCGCCATCTTTCCATAACCACATCCTGCGGTAGGTCTTTCATTAGTTCCAACATTTGGGATTGTTCTTGGACATTCCAGACAAGCCCTTCCACGAGAGGACCTAGCACTAGAAAATTTCCAGTATAAAGAGCATGCCAGTCTCAGAAAAAAAATATTTTGTAAAAATAAATACACATTAACCAACTGCCATGCAATCCTTTACCCCATTAATGTTTGTAAGAAAGACTGTATGCTGAGTAGTAGAATGTCAAAGAACTGACACTGTGCCCACTCAGGAAGGACATGAGAGGTTTCAACAAATGCTTCAGACATTAGACATGCCAAAAAAAGTGAAAGGTAAGAACTTAAAAGCTGAGAAAAAGAAGATTTCCTAACAGATGTAAAATCAATAGCAGCTCAGAACCCATCCAGGGGAAATGATGGCCCTGGCTGCAGGAGACAGGATGAGAAATCTTTAAGGAAAGGAAGACCATAGCTGGGGATCCCAAATTCCCCTGTACCTCACAGGGTCAGGTGAGCAGCTCCTGAAAGCAGACCTTTCTGCTCTGAAATTCACTTTCTCCTTCCCCACTTTGCAAAGCAGGTGTGATTATCCCCATTACCACTGGTCACCCCTACCTTGGGCTACATCATATCTGCTGGATTCCTGGGGCAAGAGGATAAATCAACCACAGGTAGAAGGAGTTGGTTGGATTTTACAGCCAAAGAACATTTTAGAGGTATTTTGAACCCACCTCTACCTTTTGCTGCTAAGTAAGCTAAGTAAGCTAAGGTCCAGTACATTAGGGGAAGAGCTGAATCTAAGCCTGGCTCTTCTCACATAGGCGGGTCTGCCTGTGCCCAAGGACCATGACATCCACTCAGACACCTGTGATCACTCCAAATTCCTCACTGCCAATAGGGGGATAATAGAAAGTCCCTCTCTCACCAACTGTAGGAACCACTAAAAGAAATAGTTTAAATGAAATAGTTTGTGAGCTAAACACAGTGTCTGGCATGTCTAAGCATTCAATAAATTATAACTACTGTTAGAATTCTTCATTATGATTTCCTTTCCTCCTTTTTCAGCCCCATCTAGTTGGGGAGGAAGAAGAAACTATGAGAACATTTTTAGATTATCTCTGTCTGCCATTCCTGCATTTTCAAGTGTTCATTTACCTAATAGGCTGTGTGCCTTGATTACAGTCCTATATGGGTTTGAATTTACATTCACAAGTATGTTCGAACTTCACTAGCATTCCTCTCCAGGGAGTCATGCTATGTCAATACCTCTTATCCGATAAGGCTTAAATTGGTGTCACAAACTACCATTTGGATTCTGTAACAGAATTGTAAATAGAGTGATAATTAACAAATTTCCCAAGTATTCACCCCTATTCCAGATTTATCAGGAACTGCACCTTCAGAGATGTCTGTCTTTCACCCACAGGAAGATGGAATGAAAATAATGAGCAAAGGGGATAAAAGAGGAAAGAAGCTCCACTGATTCTTGGCAGGTAACTTAACTCTGTGATTTACTCTTCACAGTTGAATACTGTCTTTGCTTCTTCCCTCCCATTCTCTCTTCAACCCCCTGTGATCTGTTTCTCTTCCTCCAGCCTTCCCCTCTGCCCCAGCTGATCCATTAAAACTGCCCTCCTTAAGGCCAGGTGGCAGGGGCCTCATCATTGGCAGACCCAAGGGCACTTCTCAGGCCTTAAGTGACATCTTTAGATGCTCTTGCCCTTGGCACCCAGTTTCCTCCTATTTCTCTGGCTACTCCATCCTCACCTAGAGGACCTCTTGCTCTGCTGTACCTCCTAAACATTTCTCCTTTCTATTAGCTCTTCATCCCTAGTGCCCTGGCCTAGTTCAAAACTTTATCATGGCACACCTGACCACGGCCGTGGCTCCAAAAGAGGTTTCTTTGTCTTCAGGGTCAACCCCACACGTCCTCCAACACAATCTATACTCCACTGGCAAAACAGTCATTCCAAAAGGCAAATCGTATCACATCACTCTCCTACCATTTTTTGCCACCTACAGAATCATATCTAGGCAATTTCATGCAGCACACACAAGCCCCCTCCTGATTCGGGCCTGCTGTATCTCCTAGAGACCTCCATGTGCTACTCCAGAATGCTATGCCCTTCCCTTTGCACACATGCTGTTCCCTCTGCTGCAAGCGCCCTCCTCCACCTCCTCATGGAAGATTCACTTCCATTTGGCTCCCCAGGCAGAGGGTTCTGTGTTCCTCTTCCCACAGCACACAGGAACCCCCCATTACCAGGGTCCATTTGTGCGTCTGCTTCCACATTAGGCAGAAAGCTTGCTGAGGACAGGGGCCACACCTTACTGGACTTTAGTCCCTTGTCCCTCACAGGCAGGTGTGCCTGTTAGCCTCTGGGTGCTCAACCTGGTAAGTAGCTAGAGAAAGAGATAAGCATTTGTTCAAAATGACATGTTTAAACCCCCAAAAAGAAGAGATGCCCAAATTACTGTTTCTGCTCATGTGAGCGGCATTCTGGGAAGCTTTCAGGGAGAAAAAGTATCTGTGGGTCTGAGTGATGGCACCAGAACAAGCCTATCCCTGAGGCGCTATTTAAATTCCACACAGTGATTTTCTTTTTAATTCATTTTTATTCCAGGTGCAGCCCTGCAGCTATTTTAAAACTGAGACTTAAAATAAAGTAATACTAATAGCTGGAGTTATCACAGGCTCCCGCAGTAACAGGGCGCCTTGAATCCAAAAAAAAAAAAAGGCCTTCGTGGAGTTTTGACAAACCACAATATCCCCTCCCCAGGAGAGGGAGGAGAAGGAACAAAAAGGAGCTCCATCATCAAAGGATTGTGCTTCACTCTGCAAAAGCATTTATTCCTAGATTCCCTGAAATAGCTCATGCTGTACATTTAACCATTTGTTTTCAGAATATTAAGAGGCTGAGGGCAGGACTAACATGCCAGGCAGGGAAACAGGAAAACCCTGGGTAAGAGAAGCTACTTCCAAGTGTGGTCAGCAGACCATCTGCATCAGCCACCCAAGCAAGACCCAGGGCTCTGGGCACAAATGCCCATTCCAGGCCCTGCCCCAGGCTGTGGAACCAGAATCTCTGCTAGGGGGAAACAAAAGTGTAATTTAGGTGCATGTTTCTCTCAACTCATTAATGAAAAAATGTGTTTTAATTACTGACCTAAGCCAGCAGAGAGTCCACAATATTAATGCTTCCCCAGGCATGGCACCGTGCACATTTTACGTGTCCTCAGCTCAGCGCCTCCTCCCTTGTTCTGGGAATGGCACTGACCCTCCAACGTGGAGGATTCCTTTCTCCTCATCTCCCACCCAAATGTACAGCACAAATCCGAAAGAAAGGCTAGCAGCATATCCTCCATCAGAGTTACAGATGGGAATCCGACTCAGGCCAGGCCACCTGGAGAACCTCCTTAAGGATGAGTCGGGAGGACCTGTGGGCAAAGTCCCAGGGTCCGTCCCTCTGCCCTCCCACACCATGGGAAACACACTTATGACTAGGCTCGCCTAAGTTGGGTTCCTGTCACTCTTTGGACAACCAAAAGGCCCTGCATGTGACACAGGTGATTAAAGTTAAAATGAAGTCTACCTGAGGCCTTCGGTTTACAGAATCCTAGACACCTTTCAGATGAGAACTTGCAAGTCCATGGAGGTTTGTGATTGGATGCCTCTGCGGCTACAGAGGCCCGGGCTAGTTGCCCACAGCCAGCTTCCCCAGCGGCCCCCAGCAAGGGGGGGTCACTGTGGGCAGACTCCAGATTCCTGGGTAGGCCTGCCCTAGCAGCCCACTGCACTCCTTCCCTGCAGCCAAGGGAGGGAAGTCCACCGGCCTCAGACACCAGAGCATCCTCCTTCCCAGCTAGCAGTGGGCACTGCTCTGAGATCAGCTCTAAAGTAGATGTTGCTGTTTTAAGTAAGGGACCAACCCCTGCTGCCTGAGACAAAAGTGCTCATCTCTCCTTTCTATGAATTTGCACAGCATTTGCTCTGCCTACCACTAATTTAGAACTTCCATTTACAATTCCTGACATCAATGACAGCCTTTGAGTCAGAAAGAAAATTGGACGGGGGTTTTCCAATTTTTTAAATTTCACAGACCCTTAAAATCCCCCCATAAAAAGAGTACAAACCTATTATTTTGCTAAGTAAAAACATGTTAAAAATATAGTAAAATCCATTACCAGCATCCTATCATAAAAGTGTCCTCATGGCAGAGAAAAATGGAAACCACCGGAAAGGTATCATCTCCAAACAAGCAAATGAGAAGTTTACTATGTTGTCGTGGCCACCTTCTTCCCTCTCTCCTCCTCCTTCATCTTTACTTTTTCCATTTTGCCTGGGACCAGGAGAAATGGCCTCACAGACCAGCCCCAGCCTGCAGAAATGTCTGAGTCACTCTCCTTGGAAGTTCTCCGCCTAACCAACTCAGGGCCATGACTTAAACTACAATGAGCATGACCTCCGGACATTAACAAGAGAAGCTTGCCTTGGTGAGATGTTTTCAGATTACCAAATACTCATCCATGCTCTCCTCATTCAGTTTCTCTTAATTCCCATTGCAAGGCTATGATATAGACGAGGAAGCTGAAACACTCAGGAAGATATGACCATCTGTCCCTGTTTGCAGCCCAGTGCCTCCCTCTGAGATCTATACTTTGGCCTTTATTTTACCCTTTGGAGTGTTCCTTCTACCTAGTTGTCTTTAAATTTCACCAAGTCCTTTCTTCTCCAGACTAACTAGACATCTTTTAATTCTTTCAAGTATGGCAAGCTTCTATTTTCCAAACACGTTCCACAGTCCAGCTACATGGTATATGCTCAACAGGTCTTTGTTGAAGGATGAAGGGAGGAACAAGAATGAACTGTTCTTCATTTGATGTGATTTCTAGACCTTTCCCTTGCCTGGCCATGTCCCTCGAGAGGCAGTGCAATCTTTCAATGTGCCTCTTAAAATGTCATGCCCAGAACTGTGTGCCATGCACCAGATGGGCTTAGCTGTGCCCAGTGCCAAGCCCCCTTAGCTCTCTTGTCCTGGGCACAAAGCCTTTATTCATGAAGCTTCAGATTGTATTTGCCTTCTGGCAGCCATTTCCTGCTGCTGACTCCTCTAGATTGCAGTCAACTAAAATTCTTAGATATTCCCAATTCTGAATTTCTTAATTGGTATTTTAAATCCAAGGACAGTTGTTTTACATTTAGCCCTACTGTACTGACTTCTGTTAGTATCTTCTATTCTTATCTGACTTTTCATATCTTCTTATCTCTCCAACTACATGTTAAGGTTCTAGAGATGGTAGCTTATATGCTTTTATATAAGGAATAAGTATAAATATTCAGCATGATGTCACTGAGTAGGCAGTCAATAAATACATGATGGTTCATTAAGCTCCACTTTTTTCCTACTATCCCCCAGGACTCTCAGCTTCTGATGAATCACATTTAAGTCCTAAGGGTTAGCCCTGAAAACCTGTTCCAACTGTCCCCTTTTTACCCACATACTTCTGCCTCTGACTCTTGCTTGTCTTCACAGGGCCTGCTGAATGCATCCACAGCAGCCTGCTTGCACCCCGGCGTGCTCCACTCTCTATAAACACACACCCCCTCCCAGGGCCTACCCCTGCCTTCTCAAACCTCACAGCAGCCATAAGCGCTGACCCGCTGCACTTCCCCCCATGTTCCCTTAGCCCTTCTAGTACAGTACGTCATGCAGGAAAATGATCTGGAAAAAATCTGTGAACATTCACACTCACCAAAACAGAGGAGGAGTCATCATTTACTTTAAAATGGGATTCTCTCCAAGAAGCAGTTCGCCATAGATTTATCTTTATAAAAAAGTCTTTAGCATATTTAAAACATGACTTCATGTGCCCCTATGTGGTTAACACACAACCTTCCACAAACATGTCTATCATACAGGGAGATGCCTCCGAACCTTCATAAAGAATTGTTCTCTGCAGCAATGCTGTTTCCATGCACACCAGCCAAAGGCCCTGGGACACACTCTGCCATTGACTGGGTGATAACGAAGTCTGTTCAACACGTAAGTGTGTGTACAAGTGCTTTCTCTGCACTCTCCATATATCACGGGTTTTCCATGAAGCTTATAATGGAATTAAAGAAATCATAGAGTCTTGTATCTGGAAGGGACCTTGAGTGACTCCCAATATGGGCAAGGAAAAGTAAGCTAAGCAGAGAGGGTGACGACTCCTTTATCCTGCCTTCATGTGCCAACAGCTCTTCCATGAAGTGCCACCCCCACCACGGCGAGGACCTCCTCTGGAAGCTAAAGATGGCATTGCCATCCTTCCCCTACGCAGTTTAAAGGACTGAGTATCTCCAGCTATTTGACTGGAGAGGCTGGACATCAGCCTCCATCTCTGAAGCTCCTGAAGATGAGTGGAGTGTTTCCTGGCAAACTGTTCAACATTCTGCTACAACAGAGTGATCTGGATGCCCATTGCTCATATTGGTAAAAATCTCAGCCGTAAGTGTCTGTACTTATTCAGATACTGCTTTGAGTTTGTCTTCTCTTAAGTGCGGCATGCTACTTGGACAGGGACCTCTGGGCACCCTTCTTGGTTCCCGGGACAGCCCTGGGCACAGGACTTAGAAGTTGGAGCAAATGCGGAATGAAAACAATGCACACTTTCTGTCCCATGGCACTTAACGGTCAATTTGCTGAAATAGTATCTGTTTAGATGGCTAATAACCACTGCTCTGTTATTTGTAGAAAGCTGTATTTTGTTTTCTAATTATGTCTTAAGTCAGTCTCTTATCTGTGCCTTAATATCTCTATAAAAATGTGTCAATTTCTCCATCATTTATTATACCCCAGGGACCCTGAAGGTTTGAAAAGGTGATTACTATAGTGTATTTTTTTAAAATACAAGTTGCTGTTACCATGCCTGCAAATCATATCCCAGAAAGGGAAATACATGTGCTGCTCAGGGTAAGACAGTAAGGGGAGTCCACCAGTGATGGGGGAAAGGGAGCTCTCAGAATCCTGATTTTTTTGGCAGAAAAGAGGTTGTACCTAGCAACGTAATTCCAACACAGGGTGCCCTTGGGAAGTCAGGTAGAATAACCTAAAATTAGGTTTCAAAATGAGAATTGCATTTTTTCCAGCGAGACAGCATAGTTGATACTGAATGTTATTTACAGATTTGACTTTAGTAGTTTTAAACCATTTTTCTTGTTTCCGATAAATCATGTCATAGATATAGGTACATATTATTCCTTCTTTGTTTTAGAACTAAATTACCTTTTAAATAAGGGGGGGAATGAATTATGTTAGTAAAATCCTCAAATTGCTTTGCACAACATCAATTCAGAGAAACGCTTTCCTCCTTCATAGGATAATGGCCCAAGTCGAAAGTAATAAAATCAACAACCAGATTTGTTGAACATGTACTATGTGGGAATGTATGCTAATCACTGCAGGGGAAGCAAAATTCACTACGAATTTCCTTCTGAAAATGTGCCACCCAAGGGGGGAACAGAGACATGGAAATGAACTACAATACAAGGTGGTGAATGGTGAGCAGCTGAAGCTACATGAGCTACAGGAGTCCACAGGAGAGCTCGCTTCTGTCAGGAGTGTGCACAGAGGGGCAGGTTGTTGAGCTGGGCACTGAGGGAAGGAGGCTTGAGCAAGGGGACATGTGTACAAGGACATGAAGGTGAGCAGAACAAGGCAGTCCTGCATAGAGGGAAAGCAAGTTTAAATCCTGAACTTAGGAGCTGTGTGATCTTGGGTAAGTTGCTTGATCTCTCTGAGCTTCCATTTTCTCACTATAAAAGGCAGATATTAGAGGAACTTAGTTCACAGGATTGTAGGGAAGAGTAGAGGAGATAGCGCAAGCAAAGCACTTAGCAGAATCCCACTTAGAACAAAGAGTAAACCCTCAGTATATGAACTATTGTTTTACATTAAAAGTTATAAAAGAGTCCAGGCAACCCTCAGGTTGAACTCTATGCTGGAACCAAGATCAGTGACGTAGGGACCTTGTTTTGCAATAGGAACTTACAGCCAGAGAGGAAATGGGTCATGGACTCCACAGCGCTTGTCATGAACAGGAACATGGAGTAACACAGGAAAACAGAGTCTCAGTCAAGCCCATCAGACTCTTCCCATGCACTGGGGCCCACCTAGTGGTGACGACCATACATGGAGTCAATTCCCCCTGCTCAGCTCTTAAACCACTTACACCCTTTTTAAAACCTCATAAAAGAAATGTCAGAAGGAAGTCAATGCAGGGAAATACTTGAGGATGGTCCCTGTGATCCCTGCCCCCAAGAAACCAGCCCAGGAAACTGGAGTTACTAAAGGCAGAGACAACCAAGAATGATTGCTGGAAGGCCAGGGAGCATGGAGAGATTTTGAAGCATACCTCCTGCCCAACCCCAGCTTCTCAGATGACCCAGTGATGCAGGAACAATATTTACTGGAGCCCAGCTTTCAGGGTCTCCAGATGCCTCATCCCAGAACCCGTGCAGGGGGAGGGGTTCCTCTGTTCCTGGGGCAACAGGCAAACTGCGGACACAGTCAACTGTCCCTTCCAAGTCCCAGGAAGACTTTCAGAGCCCATGTTGGGTACACCCGGCTTAAGGCACTTAGAAACAAGCAAGCCGCCAAAGTAGCCACCTGTCACCCAGGGCTGAGACCCACAATGAGGATGGTCCAGCAGAAAGGTACAAAAATGGAACCAGGAAGTTCAGGATGGCACAGGAGGGGCTGAGCTGGCTGGCTGAGGCCCAAGTATGGTGGCATTTTCTTCTCCGATAGTGAAGAGAGAATGACATGGTATGAAGGACATGGTAACACTTAACAACAAAGGCTATCAAGAGCTATGGCTTGGTTTTTAGGAGGCTTGAATTTACCTTTCTTTGCAACATTTTGATTATGCTTCAACTGGAGTTACACAGTATTGTCTTTAAAAGCCCGCATTTTAATTAGAAATGATACTTTCAAGAAGAATGGTAAAAACAGCCACTAAGAAAATCAGTTAAAGTAGCGAAATGACTTGTGGTCAACACATTTGACAAACAGGAATGATGGTAAAAGGTAGTTGAGTATATAAATCACTAAACTGCATGAAATTTTAGGATCAAAAGAGAATGTACCCAAGGATAATTCCTGCATGTCCCTTTCTCTGTCCTGGGGTCTTCTCTTCCCAGAGGCGTAGCCTGTCCAACAGAGCATCTGAGCTTCAAGCAGGTGCTCCCTGGAGCAACAGGCTGCCCTCCGGAGCCCAGGTGGGATCAAGTGCTCCCCAGGGCTGCAGACTGACCACACAAAAACCAAAAGTTGAACCAGGTGCTTCCCTCAGGGTCTTTAGTTCTGCTACTAGATTCTAAAGCCCCACAATTCGCATAGTGCTTCAAGCACCATAGCCCATTAATTAAAAGACATAAACACATCATATCTAAGGGGAATCTGTCCTATAATGAATGTTTAGACAGCCACTGCATTTCCTATTGTTGACAAGTGAGAAATATGGGCTTCCATGTAATTCTATAGCTCTTACAAAAACAGGGGCATAGGACACAGTGCCACAAGTTGGGCAAAATACGTCTTGTGCTCCCTTGTCTGCTCCAACACTGACTTTCAGGGTAACTTTGACGATATTTGTTGAGCACCGCTCAACAGGCACCAGCTAGGTTCGGAGGGTGAAATGGCTATCAGCCCAGCCCCTCCATCACCCCCCAGTTACAGGATGAGGAGTAGAGAATCAGGCCAGGAAAGCCCTTAACAGGCTCTTAAAGAAAAGCGTGATCCAGATAAGAATACACCATGACTTATCTACAAGGATATCCCTTGTAGGATGGATGTGCTGGAGCAGGAAAGCCGGCAAAGCCCACAGAACAGTGTGGCTCCTCTGTGACACAGGAGGCATGTTCCCGGGCTCCGTGGCCATGCCGGGGTCTCTGCAGACAGGACGCTGTGTTCAGCCTGATGTTTGATGTTAGCACATTAACCAAAGGCACCTATGTCTACACCTATGTCCTGGAGGACTGGCTTAAAGCCAAGGCCAACCTAACACGGAGGAAGGGTAGGTGACAATGACAGAAACCCTCAAATATCTCCATCACTGAGGTCTCAAAGCTCACCGCTGGCTCATCCTTGTTTTGAGTTTCATGAGATCCTCACTTCTTGGTAAAAAGCAAAAACTACACTTTAGATAGGAATAACTCATCAAGCCCCTACTACTTTAGTGTGAAGGAATTTAACAAATTATTTAACTCTTTGTTAGGAGAGGCAGGAAAAACCTTTAAGTAGAGAAATCTGAAGTAAGCAAAGGGTTCAGAAATCAGGGGAAAGGGCAAAAAAAGGGTAATACAATTTCACTTCTTGGCTACTTTGCCCTGCAGCAGCCATGCTGTTATTTAGCTCTAGATCAGCTATTGGGGAGGTTCTTTCTGTTTGTCACACTCCTGTTCCTCTCACCTCCTCGGTAGTGACAAAACACAGGTGACACGCCTGGGGTCCTACTTCTGTCAGGTCGGCCAAGGTCTAGCAAAGCCCCTGGGAGCATCACCGGATTTCAGTGAAATGAGAGGCAGGCCACACAGGCTCATGGCAGCTCCAGGGGAAGAAGGGACTCCAGACCGGCCCACCTTCAGAAAACCCAATGCAGCAAGAACACTGCGCGATGCATGGCTTGGGTCTGGGTCTCTGCTTTTTTCTCAGTTCACAGACAAATTTTGCCAAAGAATTAACAACTTCTTGATGATCAATCAACAAAAACAAGGTATTTCTGATAAGTGTCTTATAAATAATAAACACCTTTTAATGTCTTAGCATTATACAATTCACCCTGGGTTCCTGAGGCTAAAGGTTGCAGTGGCTCATGGGGGGCACGACAGGAGATGTCAGGATTTCCTCAGAATCTCCACGGGCAGCCCTCCTAATCCACTAGGAGATTCACACGGCCTTTCTTAAGCCAAGAGCCAGCAGGACTCTCCACCTGGGATAGGGAGGATGGAGAGAATCCCCCAGGAACACTCTGTTGACACACAGGTTTGAAGAACTTACAGCTCAGGTGCACAGCATTTGCTGAGAAAGCAGCTGCAACTAGACTTCTGAGCTATTAACAAAGAATTGATGGACACCAGAAACTAGGCTTAGCTCTCAACATTCCAGGGCCATCAGGGCCAGATGTCCCCTCTCTCAGGCATGCCGTCTGCCAGTGAGGACAGCAGTTACTGATTCTGGTTCTGGGCAGGCTCAGAACGATGCTGGGAAAACTAATGAAATGATCCTCCCCCATAGAGCCTCACGCCCAAACAAGTCTTACCAGAAGAGGAGATACTCAAGGCTATAGCACCCTTTTGGGGTTCGAAATTTCAATATTTTTCTTAAGAAACTTAGAGACATTATCGTGGTGAGTCCCCAAACAGCCTCTTTGGTTAAGGTCTCTGCTGTCAGAAGCCCTGATCATGCTCCAAAGTGGGCTGGATCATGGAGCAGCAGAACTCAAGGATGGGCAACCTCAGGCTCCCCAGGACAAGCTCATGGGGGACACCACCCCCTAGCCAGGCCATATCCAGGCCAGTGCAAAGAGGTCAACGTAGTCCAACTTGCAAAGAATCTTTAGCTGGGGAAACCCAGACCTGTGGTCACAGCAGTTCACTTCCAAATCAACCAAACCCTGTCTCAGGAAGGGAGCATTGTTGACCATCATGACCATATTTAAAACACCATTATAGCCTACACCCATATTATCTCTGTGGTCCTAGAAAGAACACTGGATTTGGGGTGCCAAGATCTTGGTCCTTTATGAGTTATGTGGCCTTCAGCAAATCACTTAACCTCTGTGAACCTCAAGTCCTCCATCCATCAGTATAAGAGGAACACAAAACTTAACTCCAAGAATGTTGTAAGGATCAAATGAAATCACATGCATGAAAGTACCTTAAAACTATAAAGGGCCACAACAATGTCAAGTATTATTTTGAAAGTACCTGGGAGCCTTCTGAAAAAATATAAAGTTAGAGAGAAGCTGATCCTATGTCTTCATTGTTCATCCAACCCAACTCCAGAATACAGGTGCTCCACCTAACTGCCTCGCATAGCTACCAATCCATTTAGTCAACAAAAGTTCATTAAACTCTCCCATGCACTGTGCTAGATGCTAGAGGTTGAATAATAAAAGAGATCCCTTTCCTGCCCTCAGGGAGCATCAATCTAGAAATTCCCAACACGATCTGTATCTACCTCCACTTTATCTTCTTAATCTGTCCATCCTATCCTAGCTAGATCGCATCTCCCAGGGGCAAATAGAGTGGTCTCCTCAGTGTAGATGAACAGGCCTGAGCATGCAACCCCGCCCTGTCAGCTAATGCATTGCCTGAGGTTAAGTCTATGCCACTGTCCTGAAGCCACAAAACTCAGCTGTCCCCCCATACCCGACAACTGCCCCCTTCATCTGGGCCCTTC